GAAGAAGAAGAAGAAGAAGGCACCAAATGTGAAGTATATAGGAAATATAAAGGTGAGTGTGTGGACAGGTATTAGAGGACGTGCAGAGTTATTAGGTAACACTTTACAATAAGGTTCATTAGTTAACATTAACTAATAATGAACTGCACTTATACAGCGTTTGTTAATCTTTGTTAATGTTAATTTCAACATTTACTAACACATTATTAAAATCTAGCTAACATTAGTTAATGCACTGTGAACTAACATGAGCTAACAATGAACATCTGTATTTTTATTAACTAACATTAGTGAAGATTAGTAAATACAGTAACAAATGTATTGCTCATGGTTAGTTCATGTTAGTTTATACATTAACTAATGTTTAACTAATGAACCTTATTGTAAAGTGTTACCAGTTATTTTAGGTATATCAATATGAATATTAGCAGAGAAGGTGGAGGAACTCTAAGGAAAGTGTTTCTGATCCGATCACCAGCAGATGGCAGTAATGCACGGATAATGCGGAATACTAATACAAAGAAGAAGAAGAATTAGAAGGCGCCAAATTTCAAGGCAGTGGGCGGGGCTTGCGTTCCGTCAGTAATAACGAGCGCAGCTAGTGTTGTGTAAGCATAGCTAACGCTACTACAGCAGTACTATAAGTGTAGTGAGCTACAGCAGTACTATAAGTGTAGTGAGCTACAGCAGTACTATAAGTGTAGTGAGCTACAGCAGTACTATAAGTGTAGTGAGTGCGCTTCAGCGGAGCGGCGAGGATGTGGAGTAGCGTGGAGCTGCTCCTGAACGAGGAGACGAACACCGTGCGGCTGTACAGCGACGAGCAGGAGGCCGGCAGCGCGTTGTATCAGGTGGACTCTCTGGTCAAGCTCTCGTCCTCACAGAAGGTCAGCAGTGTTAGCGATAATAACATACCTTACTCTATTAGCGGGGTTTGGATCCGTGTGTGTTTGAAGTATCTTGTATGTCGATACGATATGAATATGAATATGGAAACCATTCTTTATCAGAGCGAATATGAACATGTTTGTAAATCACGCATTGCTAACACACACACACTCTCTCACTCACTCTCTCACACACACACTCTCTCACACACACACACACACACTCACTCACTCACTCACACACACTCTCACTCACACACACTCTCACTCACACACAC